ATTATTTACTTTATTTATTATATTTCGTTTGCCTTGTATTTTTATTTTTGATAGAGATATTCAATAAATCCGAAAATTAAATACAGCAATATTTATTAGTGAGATTTATAATTTGTATTTACACAAATAAATACGTATAAAATTAAATTCGAACATTAATTTTCAAAAATACTGTTATTAATCCCAGAGTGGCGATAAAAAGAATATTCGTCTCAAATAATAGAGACTGCGAAACAGTTACGTTTCGCTGAATTTAATGCTTTTGATCTTACAGACGTCATATCCACATATTTCCAGAAAATTCCCGTTGACGGCGACGTCTCAAGACATGATAAAACGTCGACGATATAAATTTAACCCAACGATAGAATCTGCGAATCGTATATTTTATCGGAATCCGTTACGAAGAAATACATCCGCGACAATCCCACAGAAAACAACACGTGCTTTTGCATCAATCGACGGGATTTCGATGAAAGGAATCTGGTTTTTTAGGTAGAAATCACAAACAAGAGACAAGGATCGATGGGGTTTGAGTAAAAAAGGTGATTCAAAGTACAAAGGGGTCTTTTCTTTACCTAACGGGGCAATGTATCGATTAAAAGTAGGTCTTAAGTGCGAGAGTAATGAACTCGGTGGTTGATTGATGTTTTGGTTTTGGTTCGGTCATCTAATAGTACTTCACTGTACAAAGAACTGTACAATTAGCCACCCTTCGCATATTATGCACTGACGTGTGTGCGTGCCATCGCCTTAATGCAGCGTGGAAACTACTTATGTGAACGAGTGACCTACATAGGGAGTTGAAAGGGAATTTGAAACAAACAAAAATCAATAAGACGTAAAATAAATGATTTAGTTTCTTTTTTGGATTAACTTGTAAACTAAACGTACATGTATTATAAGATAGTAGAAGATGTACGACGCTTTCAAATTTCAGAACAATAGGAGCAGAGCGAGAATTTAACAACCTCGTAGCCAGGTTACAAGAAGGGAAGAGGCGCCGGACAAAGAGGAAACGGTCGCAAACAATTTGCAAAGTACAACTCGGCTATCTGCAGCACAAACTGCATTATCCGGATAACATCTAGGATGTATCTCGGCTCCGGTGACGCAACGCGACCGGATTTATTCGATTGGTCTTGTACGTATCTCTTTAGGAACGGGCTCCCCATAAATATTAAGGCCTTTTATGCAACCGGAAACGTCGAAACCGACCCGATTTTGGACCAGAACTAGCATTCCACTTTGGGAACTTTATTTACATCTTTAGGACACCCAAGCAATTTTCAATCCTCTCCACTAAATAACTCGGTAGTTGTTTATGAACTATACAAGATAAAAATTCGGTATAATAAATAAGCTTTTTCTAGGGTCATGAATAATGAGTTTGATGAACACAGTTTCCTTATCTATACAACTGTACAATAATGCACCACCAAGATATTAACATTGCACCAAAGTTTGTCTCTCTCACGTGCAATCTTGCGCAACAGTTGTTACACATGATCGATGCCCTAGCTAAAGTTGATGCATGCGCGCCTTTTGTCACACGACCTTCTGTGGTTTGTTCAACGGTGGTTCCTCCTTAGTTGCGACTTCGTACGAACACGGTAACATATGCCTTCATTCGCGAAACGTATACGAGACATTAAATCCTTGTTTAGCCGCCAACCGCGCGGTACGGTAATAGAAAACATTCTGCGCGAACTCCGAATGGCGACTATTAAAGTGAGGAATGTAATACGGGCCTTGGAACGATATTTTTCATCTCGCAATGAACATAACACTTACTAGATAACGTGGTTTATGGACCATGAAAACGGATGATTGTCCTCATCCATTTACCTTTTCTTTTATTCGTATCAAAAAAAAATATATAAGAGGTTCCAATCATATTTCTAAATCTGCGAATCATGAATTGTATAACAATAACAACGCTTCATAATTTCCAAAAAATATAGAATCAATTGAAGTTCCACTTAAAACTAGTTAAATATTAAATAACTCAAATTCTTCAACTACCACATTGCGTTACTAATACAAAACGCAACACTGAATTATCCTTTGTTGTTGTAAGGTATTGTTTAGGTTTGTGTTTAAATCCGCGATCTTCTAAAGCAATCAGAAATGGCATTGTATAAGCTAGCTATGTAGTAGAACAAACATGCAGACATTCATTTTGTGCAAGTTGAATATGGAGAGAAATAATAGAATTCGGGTAAAAGTCATTAAGAACATCACTGAATTTAAATAGTGAAAGGCTTATCTAGTAATTGTTAATTACTGCATATCAGTTTTAAAATAGAAGATTCTACTCGAATTAATAGGAGGACAGTTTTTATAAAAATATTCGATTTTGGAACTCATAAACTTTTGTGACTATAATGAAATAAACAGCTTAACATCACTCATTGTCAGTATCATTTTAAGATATGATATAGTTAAATAAATGAACTGTAATGTAATTCCCCGGCGATATTGTACGATAACATACAATAATTGCTACATTAAGTGCTATAAAATACATCACTATAATATAGTGTCATTGTTATATTATAAACAATGACACTAATATGTTTGACAGGTTTATACACAGAACAATTGACAAGATTTGGTTTGAAAGTTTTTGCCATTGAAGAACGCGCTATTGCGTCAATATCTTTATTTTCTGGCAAAGAAATGTAGCCCCATACACAATGCTTTGCTAATTCAACTAGTTTCTGGAAACAAGTAAAACGTTACTTTTGATGATTGGTTCATTAGGGTAGAAGGTATTAGTAGCTCATATAGAAAATGTCGTGAATAGCTCAAGTACTTTACAGCTTTGCCCACTAATATTCAATCTACCTTAGGATGCATTACCCTTCTCTCTGATCAATCCGTGCAACACCAATCATACATTGGACAATGTACAATGTATGATCATACATTGTACATTGTCCAATGTATGATTCGTGTATAAGTGTGTAGTGAGTACACACTTATACACTGTGCAATCCGTTATAGTCGAAAATCTCTTTATCGTTACTTTCAGTAGTATGTCACGACATTTCTAATCCCAACGTTCATTCTCAAATCATCCACTCACTTAAACAGCCCATGTAGCTGTAGTGCTACACTCTACCAAGTAAATTGCATATACAATAATGCTCATATCGTCCGCATTTAATATCGAACTCTGTCAAAAATAAAATCACTGAGGTTTGACCTAAAAATTGAGGGTCATTCCAGCTTATTTCCTCTACCTTTTATTTAATATAATCTTATGCAAGATAGCATAAGGTAGCCCAGGGATATTTCCTTACAAGATTAAAGATGGGTCTTCAAGCAACTTGTCAAATACCCAGGGCTCTTATTAGCACTCCTACCAGCTTTGAAATAAAAGGTTAAATGGTTTTTAGTCATACATCTCTTTTTGCTTGAATATGCTTAAATATGGTGTATGCACCTTAATATACTATGAACATCAACTGCCATCCTTCAACATCGCCATTTTTCCTATTGTCAATTACTTAAAACAGGTTCTAAAAGCGATACGTAATCATTTCTGATTTTGCTCCTGTTGTGCAAGGAGCTTTCTCGTCGCTACTTCTAGTTCCTTCTTCGATGAATTCCCTGACTACAATTTTATACATCACATCCCATCGACTACCTATTCAGTAATATATTAGGACTTTTCTTCCAATTCTTCATCGTTAAGCTGTTCTTTGTATATATTATATTCTGATACTCTCAACATTCTGAGCCACACAGCATTCGACTCTGCTAAGAACTTATTTTTATGTGTAAAGCAAAATTCTTTTGCGTCAATTTCCTCCAGTTATTTTTATTTCACCCACCGCGACATTTATTATCTTCAATTTTTGTTATTTTCAAAAATAGCACAAAAATCAGCTAAAATAGAGAAAAATAGAGAATTGAAGTATGTAGCGAATGTGACATAAATCACAGCCTTTAAGTATTAAATTAATAACAAATCACCATGTATATTAATTTGAAATATTATTTGCTGAATTTGCTATTTTTAATAAAGAATCGATATTGTAATTATAGAACGGTTGAACGCAATGGTTATTTAAAATAATACGTTAGTTTATTTTAAAAAAAATAGCGTTCGCGATTTGCTGAATTTAGTGTATTCGATGGTTTTGTTCTATTTGCTGTGTTCGAAGTGGCGTCAATTTATAAAATATCCCCAAAACGACAGATCATCGAATCCACGCAAATTCATTAATTATTTATCTCGTCAGTGTCCGTTTGTTGCATTTTGGGTGGCGTTCGAATAAATTCTATGCTAATCCTGCATGCCATAGCACCATGGCGTTTGACTATTGTAAACGGTCTAATTGTGTAAATTGAAAATATATTGCTTTGAAGTTGACTTTAATAACGTAATTAACTGATTAAATATTTATGTAGGTGTGGATTATATTTAATAATTTTATGCTAACCAATCAAAATTATGGCATAAACGCCCCGATAAAAACTGTGAACAAATTTTTGTTTTCGAAAGCAATTAATCGGTTTTTCGAACGCATAACACCTACCATTTCAGAGGGGCTTTACAGCGGAGTTTGTCGCGGTCGCAATTATGCGCCGCTTGCAAACTGCATAATCTTTTTACAATTTATTACGGTTCGTTATTCGCTATTGTCCGGAATCGTTATCGCCAAATTAATATTCAACACCGCGCGCAGTTTTCCAGCTCTCAGTGGAATTGCCTCGAATTGAAATTTCGGTTTTTCAGTCTGACACGTACCCCGTCATTTGCGAACATCATTTGTATTTTGTAACACTGCGTTTGTCAAATACTTTTTTACTCCAGATAATCAACTTTGCGTGATCATCCGGAATCATTATTGATTAGAACTCCCCTATTTTAAGCTATCTATTTTGGATATCACAGCTTTGTTATGATGAGGATGTGGAAACTTTAGTGTGCTTAGTGGTAATTGTCCGTGACATCTCCAAAATTAATCTCGGTGTGTTTGTTTCAGATTGTCCGCAGTAATGACCAGCGGTTCGCCGGCACTGTACGCTATTACTGAGAAATGTTCTAAGGTCCGGAGTCGAATTAATGACTCTAATCGAAGGGTCAATGTACACTACTAGTCCATCGTTGATTCCGGATCGGTCGCCTTTGTGACCTGTATGCGGATGCGGTCATGTCGCAGGACGAAGCTTCGTGATAATGAGTCCTTTTGGTGAAGATGCTGTCCGAAAATCGGCAGCAACCATCCTGTTGCTCCTCATGTTTTTTTCAATGGATTTTCCTATTGGAACAACTTTGGAATTAGGTAATTACAAATAATTTAATTATAAAAAGTACTGATCCGGCGCTTCCACCAAAAATTTGTCCAAAATGTTTAGAACAAAATTAAAATTTAATTAAGCCCTTTCATGTAAGAAACTCAAAGAGTTTTGTTGGTTAGCGAACTCTTTGGATGTCGTAGACGTAAAGCAACCGGTTGAATCCGCCTATTATTAGTTTAATTACATTTAGCTATAGATATAGGATTCTATTAAAATAATGAAAAGCAAACAAGATGATGTCGTCGTCTGCCACGCAACCCGGCAACCAACAAATAAACCAGCCACTTCACCCACGACGCCCTTTGACGTTGTCTCCCAAGATTCTATCTGTAGAGAGAGAGACGTTGACGCCCTGGAGTTTTGTTTATCGCTCCGTGTGGGATAATTTCGCCGAATCCTCCCTTAATTAGAACGGTGGCGGCTCCGCAAACGCATGTACTAATTTAGCTGAATGCCATTCTCCAATAACGACGACGAATCGGCAGAGTTCACCCTAGGGCGGTACACACGGAAACGATTTCGTAGTGTTCAATGTTGCCTGACGAGAATTTCATTTAACTGATGCCCGCCTCGGTGTGGAATTTACTTGTTGGGCGTTACGTACGCATAACGATAATTCTGGTATGCTTTGTTAAAACTGAAAGGTAACAGAATGGATCAATAAACGAGAGAGAATAATATTATACTACCTAAATTGAAAATAACTCATTGTTTTATATTTAACTGAAGTTTTTAGGTGGATGACGTCAGATGATGGTAAATGTGCCTCGCCCTAATATCGAATTCCCATCGAGCTCGCCATCCAGCAGTGCTTTTAATGAGAACATTTTACATAACGGCTAATTGCATTACGGTTCGCAATAAGCAGAGGATAAATCGCGAAATAATAGGAACGCGCGGCCGTTTCGTTGTGAACTTAATACCATTTCAGTGTAATTTGGGTTCGTCGCGGTCCGGTCCACCTATATAACAAGTTTCAAGTGCCGTTGCGCTCGAACAAACTTCGCACGGTGTAAACTATGAGCTGGTTGAAAACTTTTACGAGTGTCTAGTGTATGATAAATTGTATGAAAAGTGAATAGGAAGAGCTGAAATGTTCATCAAACAAAAAAAGAAACACACCCTAAAAAAATAAAAACTAGAACTAACATAAAATGATGGTCTTTTTTTTTCGTTTGATGTTAGTTGAACAACTCATTCACGGGTACCAAACGGGACATGTGAGATATTTGTCAGATGGGAATGGGACGTGTCTGTAAACTAGAGACCGTATGAATGTAAATTTGGTGTGCTGCACCAGTTGAAAGCGCATACCCGAGCCAGAATTTTTACTGTTGCTCATCACAATGCGGATTTTTAGGAATGTGAAATTATGTCGGTTGTGAACAGTTTTTTTTAACGCTCCCAATAAAAGAAATAAATCAATGCAGCCTTCAATTATAACTAAATCACGGTATGTTAATATAGATTGATTGCAGAAATCCGCTTTTCAACATTAAATATGCTAAATTTAATTAATACCACAAACGATGGAAATGCACACCAAACTACTGTTATGAAATTATTAATTAGCGCTTTACAAACCTATACAAAATCTATAATTAGCGAGTATCGGGAGCAGAACTATAGATCCGTGATAAAATACTTACATAATATTGCACAACAATTCATGATTACTACGAAAATTCGAACATATTTAAAATGATTTTGGCAGTCATTAATTATATATTTACCAATATTAATTATATCCAATTTCATATATACTACATCACGACGTACATCTCATCAGAAATTAATTAAAATTAGTTGATTGATGTAATATCTACCTCAATTAAATAAACATTATTTTTAAATTTTTTTTATATTAATTTGATAAATGGAATATGAATTTATATCTATTTTAAAATCAACTTTGATTTTAGAGTTTTATTACAATTAATATTGTTATCTGTTAATATTGTGATGTATTTCTGCATCTAGTTTGTAAACGGATTGATTTTTGTAAGAGGTAGCAAACTATTAATTAAATAACAAAGAAATAACCATTCTCGGTTCTTATATTTGATCACCTTTACTGGCAAAGGCAGGGTCTTAGAAGTTTACTTCATGTTTACTGTGTAAGCCTAAGTCTCGGATATGAATATATTGCCATTATGCGGTAGTACTGCTTTCAAGCTAGTTTTACTGGAGTCAATAAATATTCGTAACTCCTTGGTGTTCTATTATACACATTGATTTAAACAGGAATTTTTTTTCTTGGTTTTGCGCTTTCACATTTAAAATACAATGATGCTACTACGTGAATAATAAAGACACAGGAAATGATTTAACAGATGCTGCTACCATGAGTGAGTTCTCGTTATCAAAAGATAAGAAGTCATTTGCATGTAAAAATATAAATCTAAATGAAAATAAAACTGCCGAAGCTCTCTGAGCTTTACGCAACACCGGATCTGACACTATTAAGTTGTTAATTTTTTTAAATGTGCGGCTTGACCCCACTTTAAATTGATAATGTTATTTTTGTTTTGTTGGTTCTTAGCAGGAATATACCTACATTACGCTATTATTATTAATTACGCATTATGCTAATCGCTTATGTCATATTTTTTATTGAGAAATTGTTGTTGATACTGGAAGCTTATTTCCACTAGTTTAATTCTTTAGGAGGATACTATAACCATGAGCGGAGTATCACTACTATTAGTAAAGGTATTAACATGCTTGTGTACTTACAAAAAATATTCAGACAGGTACAATTAATGAAATATTAAAATGTGATTGAATAACAAATGCGATGCGTTCTAATTTTCTTCCCCATCTCACATACTTCTCAATAAAGAGAAATCTTGTCCTGCTAACAAAATCCTACAACTAGAGGAAAGTTGCCTAATTTCTGATACTATTTTGATAAAATAAGTATTTCTTTTATTTTGAGATTTATGATTTTTTCTCTATTGTATTTCACGTTATGGGTTATGCAATACCAGGAATTAATAAAAACAACAGATATATTCTAATACTTACTTAATAAAAAAATAAAAATGATTTGTTTACATATTTATGTAATAAGAAAAATGGGTCGTTGCATCAAGTTCACGTTGATATGGCGAACTGGTGATAATCGCATAGTTAGACCCCAGTCTAGATTTCCTACCTCTGTTGTGTTCTTAGTCTGTGTTCCACTATGACTTCAGTGTAAAACATCAGTGATAGCATATGCCAAACGATTTATAACTCTTATGAAAAATAGGAATATGAGGATTAATTTTTTGAGGATTCCCTATCGATATGTAGTTTCGATATGAGTAATTATCATTGCAATAAGCCGTTTTGCATCGGATTATCTGATTCGTAGAGCATCGTTGAGACCAGGGTTTCATCAGGGTTTCGGGAGGATTCGGGAGAAGAGCATGAAATTATCCTAAACAACTTGCCAGATATATAGTTCTACTGTTAAGTAGTTGCCTCATCCTAGATGAGACGTGTACTGGGCAAACTCCAAACATACAAATAACACTTTAGTATGTGAAGATATGTCGTGAAACAGATTAACCTTCATAATGCAGAATTTGCATTGTGACAATTGCAACCTTAACCAAAATTTCTCCTTATCTTTTAAATAAAAAATTCATGGTATGGGATCTAAACAATTTATAAACGGTAAACCAATTAATTGGAGGTATAAGTTCTAGAATGTAACTACAAGATATAGAGGTCAATTCCTGCAGAAAAATTATGTGGAGATTTGTTTTCATCTTTACCTCGACATTTTTTAAATTTCAATTCCCTTGTTAAAAGAAGTAAAGTTTATGGACCTAAAAGCGATAGGAAATAATTGTCAGGTAATAAAAATATACATATAAAGAATCGGTCAACACAGAATAGCGCATTGTATTTTTTTATAACATATTTCAATGTCTATTCCCATATCATTTACGCAATATGTGGTAGTACCGTAATTTGCGAAGGAGTAATCTTGTCGTGCAGTGAAAGAGACACAATTCTATAACACGTTAGCTATATTGACGATTTGTTTGAAAAAAATCAAGCGCATCATTTTTATTGAAGATTCACTTTTTGAAACGCTGACGTTGATACATCGTGTTTAAAATCAATAACCGTTTTTGTGGAACCTCTACTATAGTTTTTATTTGTTTTATTTTCTTTAGGAAATAGGAAATTTCAACTTTCATTTTTGTTATAACAACTTTATATTTTTAGGATGTAAAATAAGTGAAATAACTTGCACTTGTATTGTATCAGTATGCAGGGATTTGTATCATCTTAGTAAGTTGAGAGCATTTTCCGCCCATTATTAAAAATTCAATTAGTCGACAAAGAAGGAGCACCTCAAAGATAAAATATATCAACCTTCTAATAAGCACACATCCCTTAGAAACGTGTCAACTTATAATTGAGTAAAAATGTGGGCCGGAGTTTCATTAAAGGCTCTTTGTTGATGCCAACACAATTTCAGCGCTCAATTTTGCTACTACGCTGCTAAAAAAATTGGTATATGCCTTCGTTTCATCGACATTGGGGTCATGTACTATCAGTGATTGCTCGAATTTTAGAAGGTTTTTTTTAGATTACGTTGAAATTCTTGTATCTACAAGAAAGAAATTTAAAAAATACATTTAACGTTCGCTGTAATCATGTTTACTCGGCCCAGTTTTTAACAACGGAAAATAAAAACTGTAGACAATCTCATCTCAATATGGGTGTGTTTTGCCAATTACTCGAACATTTGGTTAAAGATCATTAAATATTTTCCTACATAAATTTAATGTAAGTGCATCGCAATATTAAATTACGTCGTCGTACTATTCTTTAATCTTTTCCTCGTGTTCGTTAAGGCGTCATTTTAAATTGAGTACGTTGTTCCGTAACTAATGATGATTATGCGCGTTATATTGTGAATATTTTAACTTTTCATCAAGTACTACTAATATAATATCTATACATCATATATAACGTCATT